GTGATATATTTAAGACTTTATAATTAGTACCATTATACTTGGAACTTAGACTCTGAAATCTATACCCAAAGCACTTAATTACTTTTCCTTTTCATCATAGACCAGAAAATGGAGTATTATCATAGCATTTTTAAAATTTCACATCGACGAGCAAGCAGCAATTCTGGACAAAACAACACATACCAATTTAAGGAGTTACAAGAGATGAGCGAGAATTTGGTAAGTCAGATAAAATTATTTTTATCATAGAATAATGCAAGTGGAAGGGATTTTGTGGATCATTTTCAATATTTTCAAAACACAATCTTCAGATCACTGCATCAAAATCATCTTGTGGAGTCCTAGGACCCACCCCAGACCTGACTCAATGTCCTACGAAATGAGTAGGTGGGGGAGAGGAAATGTAGGAGAGGAATCTGCTTGTTTAACAAATGAGTGATTCCAATGAACCACTCTTTCTAACTCAACCTCTCTTAAAGGTGAGAGAATTGAGCTCAAGGTATCCCAGCCCATTGCTCTTCCCAGTCTACCATATTATCACCCAAATGCAAAAGCCTAACCATATCAGAAATGTTTATTTGTAAGACCACATTTTTTTTTTAATTATTATTTTATTGTGTTTTAAGTGAAAGTTTACAGTGCAAATTAGCTTTTCATTCAAAAATTTATAAACAAATTGTTTTGTCACATTGGTTGCAATCCCCACAATGTGTCAGCACTCTCCCCCCATCCCTTTTTACCCTGGGTTCTCTGTGTTTATTTGTCCAGCTTTCCTGCAACTTCCTGCCTTCTTGTCTTTGCTTTTGGGCAGGTGTTGCCAATTTGGTCTCACATCCTTGATTGAATTAAGAAGGATATTCCTCACGTTATTGTTAGTTTTATGGGCCCGTCTAACCTTTGGCGAAAGGTAGACTTTGAGAGTGGCTTCAGTTCTGAGTTAGCAGGGTATCCGGGGGCCATAGTCTCAGGGGTTCTTCCAGTCTCTGTCAGACTAGTAAGTCTGGTCTCTTTTTGTGAATTTGAATTCCGCTTTTTTTCTCCCACTCAGTCTGGGACCCTCTACTGTGATCCGTCAGTGCAACTGGTAGTGGTAGCCAGGCACCATCTATTTCTTCCGGGCTCAGGCTGGTGGAGGCTATGGTTCATGCGGTCTGGTCCATTAGTCCTATGGACTAATATTTTCCTTGTGTCTTTGGTTTTCTTCATTCTTCTTTGCTCTGGATGGGATGGGACCAACAGATGTATCTTAGATGGTCACTTGCAAGCTTTTAAGACCCCAGACACTACTCACCAAAGTAGGATGTAGAACATTTTATGAACTATGTTATGCCAATTGACCTAGATGTCCCCCAAGACCACATGCTACTTTGGTAAGGCCTCGTTATAAGATTTTAAGTAAATTTATGAGAAAAGGAAGGATAACCATACATTTTTTTTTAATCTCACAAACATACTAATAAAGACAAAAAGCCCAAATCTATAGTGTAATATTCAGATTAAATATTAGAAATTTTTAGAAAATTTTTTTATTGTTGTACTTTAAATGAAGTTTGCATTTCAAGTTAGTCTCCCATACAAAATTTTATACATACACTGTTATGTGACCCTAATTGCTCACCCCACTCTGTCACAGCACACTCCTCCTTTCCACCCAATTCCCCATGTCCATTCAACCAGCTCCTAACCCTCTCTTGCTTTCCCATCTCACCTCTGGACAGAAGCTGCCCCTTTGGTCTCTTGTATCTACTTGAGCTAAGAGGCACACTCCTCAGAAGTATCACTTTATGTCCCACAATCCAGTCCAATCGTTGTCTGAAGAGTTGGCCTTGCAAATTGTTTTAGTTCTGGGCTGACAGAGAATCCAGGGGCTATGCTTT